GACACTGTTCAGCGATTTGTAGACATACAGGAGTATTTTGAACTGGATTCGAAGGTGAACCGGTAACCAGTGCAGTGAGGCCAAAACTGGTGTAATGTGCTCTCTTTTGCCTGTACTGGTTAAAAATCGGGCTGCTGCATTCTGGACCAGTTGTAGTCGTGCAATGGAGGTCTGACTGATACCAAACAGGTGTGAATTGCAGTAATCAAGCCTAGATGTACAAACTGGATTCCAAAAAAGTTGGGACACTAAACAAATTGTGAATAAAAACTTAATTCAATGATGTGGAGCTGGCAAATGTCAACATTTTATTCGTAATATAACATAGATGACAGATCAAAAGTTTAATCTGAGTAAATGTAACATTTTAAAGTAAAAATATGTTGATTCAAAATTTCACAGTGTCAACAAATCCCAAAAAAGTTGGGACAAGTAGCAATAAGTGGCTGGAAAAAGGAAATTGAGCATATAACGAACAGCTGGAAGACCAATTAACACTAATTAGGTCAATTGACAACATGAATGGGTATAAAAAGAGCTTCTTAGAGTGTCAGTGTCTCTCAGAAGCCAAGATGGTAAGAGGATCACCAATTCCACCATTGTTGCGCAGAAAGATAGTGCATCAATACCAGAATGGTGTTACCCAATGTAAAATAGCAAATACTTTTAAGTTATCATCATCAACCATGCATAACATTATCAAAGGATTCAGAGAATCTGGAACAATCGCTGTGCGTAAGGGTCAAGGCCGTAAAATTCTACTGGATGCTCGTGATCTCCGGGCCTTTAAACGTCACTGCACCTCAAACAGGAATGCCACTGTCAAGGAAATAACAGAATGGGCTCAGGAATACTTCCAGAAAGCATTGTCAGTGAACACAATCCACCGTGCCATCCGCCGTTGCCAGCTGAAACTCTACAGTGCAAAGAGGAAGCCATTTCTAAGCAAGCTCCACAAGCTCAGACGTTTGCACTGGGCCAGGAGTCATTTAAAATGGAGTGTGGCAAAATGGAAGACTGTTCTGTGGTTAGATGAGTCACGATTTGAAGTTCTTTATGGAACACTGGGACGCCATGTCATCCAGACCAGAGAGGACAAGGATAGCCCAAGTTGTTATCAACGCTCCGTTCAGAAGCCTGCATCACTGATGGTATGGGGTTGCATGAGCGCTTGTGGCATGGGCAGCTTGCATGTCTGGAAAGGCACCATTAATGCAGAGAACTATGTTCAGGTTCTAGAACAACATATGCTCCCATCTAGACGTCATCTCTTTCAGGGAAGACCCTGCATTTTTCAACACGATAATGCCAGACCACATTCTGCAGCAATCACAACATCATGGCTACGTAGGAGAAGGATCCGGGTACTGAAATGGCCAGCCTGCAGTCCAGATCCTTCACCTATAGAGAACATTTGGTGCATCATAAAGAGGAAGGTGCGACAAAGAAGGCCCAAGACGATTGAACAGTTAGAGGCCTGTATTAGACATGAATGGGAGAGCATTCCTATTTCTAAACTTGAGAAACTGGTCTCCTCTGTCCCCAGACGTCTGTTGAGTGTTGTAAAAAGAAGGGGGGATGCCACACAGTGGTAAAAATGGACTTGTCCCAACTTTTTTGGGATTTGTTGACGCCATGAAATTTGGAAACAACAGATTTTTCCCTTAAAACGATACATTCTCTCAGTTTAAACTTTTGATCTGTGATTTGTGTTCTATTCTGAATAAAATATTAGATGTTGGCACCTTCACATCATTGCATTCAGTTTTTATTCACAATTTGTTCAGTGTCCCAACTTTTTTGGAATCTGGTTTGTATATATAAGTACTAAGTGTTGTCATCATTGTATGGGAACATACGATGGCGATATTGGTTCTCTGCATTTAACCATCACACCTGGGATACAGCCAGGTAGAGCGATGGGCAGCTGTGTGGGTGCCTGTAGAGCAGTTAGGGGTTGGGTGTCTTGCTCAGAGACGCCACGACATGTGGGAATGGCTGAGGATCGATCCTGGGGCTTTTGGGTCCCAGGTCATCTGTCCTGCCTCTACTCCATCTTGGCCCCTATATACAAAGTTTACTAAGTACATATGTTCTGTCAGCCATCCTGTGGATTGCTTGGAGTTTCCAAACTCCTGAGTGTCAGACTCTTTCAGGAGCTGCTCGAGTGGAACTTCCTCATTCTCCTTCTCATCAGACTTTGCAAGATTGGCACTCGCAGCATATTTCAGACTCAGGGATTAAAGAGGAGTATGCTGTGTACATGACCTTAGTAAAAGTACACAGTATAGTGTTCTCTAATAAAGCTCCATCAAGACCAACATCATTCTGAAGGAAGAGACGGTTTGAACCAAGTAAAATATTTTTGTCTCTTTTGTTTCACTGGGTTCTCTTTCTCTACTTTTAGGACTTGTGTGAAAATCTGATGATGTTTTAGGTTATACTGATGCAGAAATATAGAAAATTATAAAGGTTTCACATTCTTTCAAGCACCTCTGTATGTGTGTGTGTGACTGTATGTTAATGTATATGTAGGTATATGTATATGTAGGTATATGTATATGTAGGTATATGTATACCGAAGAAGAAATGTGTCCTCCAATTTATTTTTTTATGTGATTTCTTATCTATTTGGGCCTAAAAAACACTTTACAGTTATTTTTTTAACGTATATATTTTATTTTACAGCAAGTCCACAGTAGCGGACTGCAGGATAATTTTAATGTGAAAATACAACGGAATTCAGAAAAAAAGAGCAGATTATGGCTTCAAAGTGATAATAACAAAATAATATATTTTAATTTGATCAAACAATTAAACCGTCATTCTTGATCATTTCAGTAGTTGCCTGCAGTTCTACCGTTCTTTTGGGTATTTTATCGATGATAATCCTGAAAGCATGTTTTCCTTTTGGTGATGCAGAGAAACAACAATGTTGATTGAGCTTCTCAGCTTGTAGAACCTATCCCTTGTCATTTTCCTGCTAATAACTGGGACTTTAATTTTTTTAGCCCAAAACATTTTAACTCTGGGATAGCCAAGGCAGGCCATGTGGCCAAAGAAAATTGTGATTTCTTGGGAAGTAGTGTTTAGTGACACTCCTGTAGTTTGCTGCTGTCTTTGATTTGTAAAAGCTGCCATATCTTCAAAGATTTTGTCATCAGTGTACTGTGCAAAGTACTGGATTAGACTCCAGTGTTCTCGTATTTTAGGGTCATCTTGATAGACAGGAAGCCCGGGTAGCACAGGTGTGAATCTATTATGATGGATTGAAAAAACACAAATAATTACTAAAACAGCAATGATTTAATATGATAATATAATTGGGCACGTCAACTTAGAACTAAATAAAACTTATAAGGTAGTCGTCCACCATATGGGCAATCTGGTTACGTGCTCAGATTGCCCATATGGCAGATCTGGCCTTGGGTAGACCTGGCTCACAACGGCGACTTTCCTGCTCCCTTTCTGGCTCTGAGCCTGTCTCCTCATCAGATACTCCTGAATCTTCTTCCTCTCCTTTTTCACCATCTTCTCCTGTCCCAGGCTGATACTCATCCTCGTCTGACAGCCCCAAATCTGAATCTCCCTCTACTATTTGGTATAAAATCCTCTCTGCTTCACTTCTTTCTCCTACAACAATGTTGACTCATTAATTACATGAAAGTGGTCCTGGTGTCCACTACAGCTGACATTTATAAAGGTTCAAGATTCTTTGTTATCATTCTCATCACATGAGGTGGAATGAAACTGTGTACTCCAGGTCCCAGTTACACCCAAAAAAAGTTAAAAATATACAGTATAAAAAAGAAACGGTATACAAGGAACTAATATATATGCTAAACAATGATAATGGAAAATAATATGGTGAATTAAACAGCAGCCTGAACACGAGTCTATTAAAAGGACCGTTATTTCAAAATAAAAATAATTCAACTGTTTTCTGAGGCGGGCAGCACGGTGGCGCAACTGGTAGAGCTGCTGCCTCTCAGCGAGCAGGTCTCTGGTTCAAACCCCAGTTCAGGGGCCTTTCTGGGTAGAGTTTGCATGTTCTCTCCGTGCATGCGTGGGTTTTCTCCGTGCATGCGTGGGTTTTCTCCGGGTGCTCCGGTTTCCTCCCACAGTCCAAAAACATGCATGTTAGGCTGATTGGTAACTCTAAATTGTCCCTAGGTGTGAGTGAGAGTGAATGGTTGTTTGTCTCGTTTGTCTCTATGTGTCCCTGTGATGGACTTGCGACCCGTCCAGGGTGTACCCCGCCCCTCGCACAGTGATTGCTGGACATGGGCACCAGCGACCCCCGTGACCCAAAATGGAATAAGCGGGTAAAGATAATGAATGGATGATTGTTTTCTGAGGCAAAAATACTGTATACCCTGCCTTCCCCCTGCTTTTGCTCTCTGTCGTGCATCGGAGCTTCTATTTACACATCTTCCGAATCGTAAATTATTGTTATGGATTTGGTCAGCTGGACTTTCAACGCAATTGATTAAAAAAATTTCAACCAAGCAACAGGGTGCTGGAGAACCCTCATGCCCCGCTGAGACGCATGCGGCTGGGTACGTCATGGATTCCTGGGGGGAGTAGAAGCTGATGTGCCTTTCTGTGTTGTCTGTGGAGGATGTCCAAGATTTATACATCATTGGTTTATGATAGCAGGGTTTCTGCTTTTTGGCAGCGGCGGATACCTATGTTATCGGCTCTTAAGGAAGACGACGGCAGCAGCTTCGGCCATGGCAAAGCTAACGACCGTATGTGAAGGATTAATTCGTGCTTGGAGCTCTCAGAATCAGTTGATGTGCAAGCTCAGCCGTAAGCTGGAAGCGATTTATGAGAATTGTAGGCCACTTGCAGCTTCTGGAACTCACAGCATGTTGGAATCAATCTTTGAGGAGGCTAATAAGCACGGACCAGCGGAAAGCCCACAAAGCTGGCCATTTTGGATCGTCGGGAGTACCAGCAAAACTCAAGGCTGATGAGAAAAACAGTCTGCCTGCACAAAAACAACTGTGGCTGATCTGAATCCAACTTCCCCGTTCGGCCTTGAATAGGCCATCTTATCAAGTTGAGCTATAACGGCTGACACTGTAACATATCATGACTATGGTGCTATCTGAAAGTGCTTCATGGACAAATCTCACCATCTTGTCATCAAATGCATATGTAATGTGTCTTTAAATGTGTTTGCTGGTAGGTAAAACCTCCCTCTGTTCTTCTCCACAGTGTAACTTGTAACCACTTGAATATCTGGCACCAAAAACATTTAGGCTTACTTACATTCCCTGTTCAATTCCCCTCATCCAGAAAAACACTCATCTGAAAACTACAAACATTCACTACTTACGTCCCTCAGAGACGAGGGACATCAGTGTACGGCTTATTTTATTTTTATTATTTTTTTGGGTCAAAAACCCCATTTATTTTGACCTTGATTGATTTAAGACAGTAATAAAAGCACAAAACATCCAGGGGGGTGAAAACGTTTAAAAGGACTGTATATCTAAAAGGTAAATATTAAGTCTTAATGTTTTATGTTTTACTTAGAGTTTTGAAGTAGGGCTTTACTTTCAGAAAGTGAGCTAACCATGAGAACGTGTTCACGACATTGTTGAACGTTGAACTGGTGTCTCATATTCTCATATTAACGTCCCGTGAAGTTTGTGTAGCGTTTGTTCTCCGTGTCACCATTTTTCCTTGAACTTTTAGTCAGTAATAACTTTTTCTTCTGTAGAAGCAGACTATTCAGATCCCGTTATGCCTCTGGAGCAGCCCCAGCTACCTTTGTCTCCACGCTCTGTGGACGGCGAGATGCTCCAACGTGGAGAGGAGGAGCAGGAACCTCCCGGACCGTCGGCGCTGACGTTGGAGCGCTACCTGAACGACTCGCTGCACGCCTGGTTCCGCCAGGAGTTCCTGATGGAGTATGAGGCGGAGGCGGGCCGCCTGCTCTGCATGGTGTGCGGGACAGAGCTGCCCTCGCTCCACTTGGATCACATCAAGAACCACGTGCTGGACTCCCACCCCAACTCCCTGGTGTTCAGCTCCGAGGAGAAGCACTGCATCCTGCAGGCCTGGGCTCAGGCTCACGGTGAGAACATGGAGCACAAAGAAACAACAACAAAGCATTTTAAAGAACACAAATGCAACTTATAAAATACAGATAATAAACAGAGTTTTACATTATAGAGTCTTACAAAGAAATACTGTTATATTGATGTTTTTTTAAGTTGCAAACCTTAATTTAATGTTTTTGGTATTATCCTCAATGAACAAGCAGGACGCTGACGTCCCCTGTCGCTGTGGGCTTTGAGTAGTGAATGTTTGTAGTTTATGAGATGAGTGTTTTTGGACTTGAATTAAAGAGGGAATGTAAGTAAACCTAAATGTTTTTGGTGTAAGATATTCAAGTGTGGAGGAGTTACACTGTGGAGAAGAACAGAGGGAGGTTTAGTTATTTTTTGCTTGTCCGAGGCAGAGCAGAGTGATCCTGGAGAGTGGAGGGAGACATTTTATCCACCACCAGGTGCAGTGCTGGAGCCAGAGGGTGGCCAATGGTGGCCTTGACTACTGTAAATTAATCTTTGGCCACCCCAATTATTTGAGGAAAGTTTTTTTTAAAGCAAAATAAAATCTAGAAAGCCAAGTTTCCTCAAATGACAGGAGTGGCTGGTTTACATATATGTATGGTGGTGGCCATCTTTGATTTTGACCTGGCAACCTAATTATTAAAAGGAACATAACCTGATGCATGCTCAATAATCCAGGTAGAACAATCTAAAAAAAAGTTCAATCTGGTCCTCTGGACATTCAAAAAAAACAAAACAAAGCAAAAAAAAAATGTAGATAGACCCAGACGGCGACGGCAACAGCACTTTAACTCAGGGTGTCTGTCAGCAGCAAACTGGTTGATCCACTCTGAGAAGGTGCTATTTAAGAGACTGAGCTGAATACAGCACCTCAGACTGAGGAAGTCTTTCGGATGAGAGACGAAACGTTTCTACATTTTTTTGCTTTGTTTTGTTTTTTGCTTTTTTTTTTGTGAATGTCCAGAGGACCAGATTGAACTTTTTTAGATATTAACAGGAACCTTTCTTACACCTAGATGCAGCCACACACCACAATGGAAGTCAGTACCCCTGAGCTTTCAATGTATCCAGCTCAGAACACAGAAGGACAAACGAAAGGAGGATATTTCCAAATCTCCCCCTTTGCTCTGCAACGGGGACAATAAATGCCCAGCATTCCTTTTCATTTCACCTTTATTAACACAAAGAACAAATTCTTATTACAGTGCTGGTCTGGCAGCACCAATAGGTACTTGTAAGGTCAAGGGAAGAAACAATAGTTAGGCAAAGCAATAAAATATAGAAGTCAACAACAAACAAGTAAACACAAATTACACAAACAGTTCATTGTCCAAGTTAAATAACAATGTTACCAAACATGAAAACACCTGAAGGAGTGCACGTCGCCCGCCACCTTTCAGGCCAAAGTTTGAAACTAAATCTTGAGCTCCAGTTGTTTTGGTCAAACGTTCAACGTTATGATTGATCTTACTGGGTGTTATAAAACCTCACAAGATGTGTTCAGTGTCTGTACTACCACATCAGAGGAGGAGAGCTGTAAACCTCCCAGAACTGATCTGTGTCGTGTGTTTGTGTGTCCTGCTACAGATGAGGCAGAAAACCCAATCAAATCAGAGTCCACCACCAAAGAGAAGGAGTCTGAGCTTTTTGCTGAAGATGTGGAGCGCATGCAGCTGACTGCCGACGTGTACCCAGACGGCGACGGCACTTTAACTCAGGGCGTCTGTCTGATTGGTGAGGACGGAGGTGTCGGTCTTCCTCAGCAGGGCTCCCAGCCTGTCCGCCAGCACCGCAGGAGGAGGCTGCGTGGGGGGGACCCGTGGCGGCTCCGCCTCGATTATCTGGTAGCCTACGGGCCTCAGGACCAGGGTACGTTCTGCATGGTGTGTTCTCAGGTCCTGAATGAAACCAAGGTCAGCGGCTTCCGCCGCCACATCCAGGAATGCCACCCTGAGACCACGACCCTGAGCCGACAAGAACGGGAGGCCATGGCTGCTGCCTGGACCAAAGACCCTTCTACTGATGGCACACGCACACAAGATGGTGAGAGGCTGGTGGCCCTCAGATTACCTGTCAGGGATCAGTCTCAGCTACTACCACACCAAACCTTAGCTCAGTTTCTGTAAGTTTGAAGCATAGCTATGGTTCTGTTTAGCTGTGAGCTGCTGTCAGTGATGTCTTTCTGATGAAGCCTTCTGGATGGAAGGTGAAACGTTTCAGCACAAAAAAAAGAAATTGTCCAGATGACCTGACTGAAAAATGCTTTATTGAATACCTGGATTATTGAGCATGGACTTAGTTGGTCTTTCTGTGAGCTTCTTTAGTGCAGGGGTGTCCACACTTTTTCAGCATGGAGCTACTTTTAAAATGACCAAGTCAAAGTGATCTACCTACTGTAAGACCCCGTTTACATGACAACAACCTCTGGAAACGTTAGTGTTTTTTCAATGTTTATTTCTGCGATGGAGTTAAATTCAAAACAGTCTGCTCCTCAGATAAATAGTGTTAAATGATTATTTTTTTATATATGAGTGTTTCTGTTCAGTGCCCTGAGACGACTTCTGTTGTGACTTGGCACTATATAAATAAACTGAATTGAAATTGAAATTGGGGGTAATAAACAAAAAAATGAGCAGGTTTACATGAAAATGCCTTAGTTTACAAGAGAGACCTTAATCAGGTCTCTCTTGTAAATGAGTCCTCGAGGCTCAATGGGATTTACCTGTATAAATAAAGGTTGATAGTTTCCATGTCAGTCGGGTTGCCAGATAAGAACTGATTAGCTGTAGTACTGTGGCTTTAAAATGACAGTATTTTGACCTAAACTGTCATTATGTGCTGAGTAAAGATATTCTAAGATGAGGTGCGTGTTGTGTTTGTTGAACATGTGCACAAAAAAGGAGGGGATAAATAAGAGATTTAAAATTTATCTGGCAACCCTGATGTAAGGCTCTGCTGCATTCATCGTGCATGCAGTGTCTGCATGATCACAGTTAGTCCAAACTGGTGAATATACTAACGTCTCAGGTTGGTGGGTTTTGGAAATGATGGCTACGGGCTGGGCCGGGTCAGATCAGATTTTTTGGGCCCAAATGTAACTCTAGGCCTCAGCTGCCCTGTCTGTCAATCAACAGACAGATGTCATAGATGGATGATCGGCTGACGTCTGTTTTTTTTAATGCCATGCCATCTACCCATAATACCTTGGCTATCGACAGGTAGATCGTGATCAGTGTTTTGGGCACCCCTGGTTTAGTGGTTCCTGAGATATTTGGGGAACAAGCAAACAAAAACTTTCTTGTTCAGTCTTTGCCTTTCAGCAGCGAGCAATAAGAAAACGGTTTATAAACCTTTATGCGTTTTAGTAGTCTAGTAGTAAATTCAGCGGTAAGGCTTCTTTGCTTTAAATCTCAGCAACTCTCTCTGCTCGTCATGTTTATTTATTTGTTTATTTGTTTATTTATCCAGAAATCCACCCTTGTGATGACGTCATCCTTGATGCTACAGGAAACCCAAACCAGGAAGCGTCCCCCGATACCAAAACTCCCATCAAGACAGGAACACAAGATGAGGGTGCGAGTGGAGGGCAGGGCAGAGCGAAGGACGCCGGCACTGTGGCCACCCCCCTGCGTCAGAACCACTACCCCGGGAAAGACCAGAGGCGGAACTACCAGGCGCGCTGGCGGCTAGACTACCTGATGGAGTACGACTGCAGGAGGCACGGTTTGATCTGCATGGTGTGTGGAGCCACTCTGGCCACTCTGAAGGTCAGCACCATCAAGAGACACATCCAGCAGGTGCACCCCCACTCCCTGCTCTACGGTGCAGAGGAGAAGCAGCGAGCCCTGCAGAGCTACAAGCAGACTGCGCTGCAGCCGCTCCCCTCTGAAAACTGTCCGTCCTCCCAGGACCCCGGGGATCCTGCTCCAGCACAAGTCGGCACTTAGACAAGACCTCTGCTCAGAAACAGCCCTTTAATTCTGCTCCCGAAAAGGAAATCCAGGCGTTTGTCTCACAACGTTCATGTTTGCTCAACATTTATTTATACTTAATTTTCCCAAACGCCAAAAGTCCAAAACTGAAAAATGAACGTAAGACCCAGAATGTATCAAATGTACCGTTTGAATCCCGTTCATTTTCTAATTTCTATTATTTTGTTCCTTGTGAAGGACACAAGGTCAAATGAGAGCATGTCAAACCTAAAAAAAAATCTAACCAAAAGGTCCAGGCACTCATTTGATTGACAGCGTATTAAAGCTGTTATAAATTAAATACAAAAAGAGCTGAGGGACGGGGCAATCATTAAAATTTTTTTGTTAAAAAATCCACGTGAATGTCATATATTTACGTAAAAAACTTTTATATCGTCATGATGGAAAGGCCTACATTTGATAAAAAATAGATAAAAGTAAGTCCACATTCTGCAAACATCCAGCTCGAAGGAGGTTACTCTTTTAATAGGGGCCGAGATGGGATAGAGGCAGGGCAGTCGACCTGGGGCCAGAAAGTTGCAGGTTCAACTCCCAGCCACTCCCACATGTTGTGGTGTCTCTGAGCAACACACCCACTCCCTAACTGCTCCCCGGGCGCTTACATAGCTGCCCACTGCTCCACCTGGATGTATCCCAGGTGCGATGGGTTAATTGCAGAGAACTAATTTCATCATTGAATGGGAACATACAATGACAACACATAACATATTTTCCACCGTACATGTCGCATCTATTATACATCACAGCTGACAACCTGGAAATGTGGGCTGGTGTTGTGCCAAAAATCGATTAGCTGCCAAATGGCAGGGAAGCATGCACGGGAGGACTTTAACAAGAATTTAAAAAGATTAACGCATTAAAACATTTATTTGTTTGCTTGAAATCATAGTAAAGGTGTGTCTCGGTTTGACTTGTACTTAATAAATGCACTTTGACGGTCAAATCAACTGCATTTCAAAAGCCGATACGCGGAAACATGAACGTGCAGAGGGCGACTCACAGTGCATTTATTCAAAATTTAACAAGATGACCACCTAAAATCAATTATTTGTTTGCTTGACATTATAGTAAAGGTGTGTCTCAGTTGAACTTTTACTTAATAAATGCACTTCAGGGGTCAAATCAGCTGCATTTCGCCGGAGCGGCAAAGTGAAATGAAGCTGATTTGATGGTTGCTCCAGTGAATAAAGGTGGCAGGCTGTGGCAATCTGATTGTGTCATTAATAGCCACTTTTACTTATTACATGACATAACTGCATGCCATATTACTCAAGTGCCATCTAGCGGCTGAAAATGGTAGTGTTCAATATTTCAGTCAGAATGAATAAAAACGGTCATATCTCAGCCAAAAAATTGGTTTATAAATACAGGAAAAAAATCCATAAATACATTGCTTTGACATTTAAGTCGCAGGAAATGTAAATTATGCAAAAAATCATGACTTAAGAGGGCAAAAAATACGGTAGTACTTATACCTCATTGGTATGGAAGAGGATTAGCGCCATGGTGAAATATTTTCTCAGAATTCTGACTTTATTCTCGATGGTCCTGAACCTTTTAAATACACAGAGGTGTTTTGTTTTTTTATTATTATCTCTAATTAAACTGTCTCAGTAAACGTAAAATTCTTACTGTTACTCAGTAAAAATAAGAGAGGAGTGGTGGTGCAGAGGATAGAGGAGGTGAGCCTGTGATTTTAAGATCGTTGGTTCAACTCCCCGAACAGACAACATCTAAATGTGTGGGGGATATGTTGAAGCACCCACACCTGCCTCCACCCTCATTTGCCTCACTCTGGGCCCTTGATCAAGCCCCTTAACCCCCACTGTCTGCTCCCCGGGCTCTCTAGATGGCAGCTCTTTGCTCCACACAGAGGGCTGTGGTAGCTCAGTGGTCTGTGGTTGAGTCAGGAAGGACATCTGGTGTAAAAACAATCACCAAGTCTTTGTGTGAGTTAGTTCACTGTGGTGACCCCTGAAGAAGGAGCAGCTGGAAGAAGACTAAAAAAATCTCAGTAAACACTTGAGACCTTTCAGTCTCCAGACTTTGATCCTGGAAGATTTACCTTGGTCTGCATATATTTTCTGACTATCCAACATAAGAGAGTCTTTAACTTTTTTATGGAAATACATGACATTAGTGTCAGTTTAAAATATTTTCTTTCCAAACGTTGCCCCTTGCACCTCTTTTTGTTACTTTTCAATTTGTGATCGCCCTAACATCCTGTTGTACTGCTGAGTAATGATAAAACCTGCAGCGCCTGATAGTTTGACTAAATTAATGATGTAGGTGCTCAGGGTCTTTGGTTCGTAGATAAATCCTCTCAGCTGTGGCACCAGAATATTCTGGGTTCGGCCTTTTTGTGAAACAAACTAAAGATATAACAGAAAATCATCAAGTACAAGCAGCACAGTGGTGCAGTGGTTAGTGCTCTCATCTCACCGCAACAAGGTTGCACTCCAGTTTCCTCCCACAGACCAAAACCATGCAGTTAGGCTGATTGGTAACTAAATTGTCCCTAGGTGAGAGAGAGAGAGTGAATGGTCGTTTGTCTCTGTATGTCTCTGTGATGGACTGGAGACCTGTTCAGGTGTCCCCTGTCCCCCAGGTGTCCCCCACCTCTCGCACAGGGACTGTTGGATATGGACACAGGCTCCCTGTGACCCAGAAAGGAGAAGCGGGTAAAGATGGTGGTCAGGTAGATGGACCCAACAGCCAGTGTCCAGAACAAAAAGAGAAATGTTGATCAAGAGACCAAAGTCCACGCTCAATAATCCAGGTGTAAAATCCAACAACGTTCAGTCAGGTTGACCAGTTGATCGAGAGCACTTTAAAATATTTTAAGGAAAGTCTGACTGCTTGGAATGAAATTAGGGAATTACAGAGACAAAAATAAGGACTGGATCAGTAATGGAAGGTATGGTACTGTCTACTTCCTGAACAGGTGCAGTTTCCAACAGGGATCATTTTTAGAACTTAAAGAAGTAGCAGGAAAGGATTTGTTTCTCTCCACTCTATAAATAATCTGGGCTCAGTTTGGTCATTTTTGATACAAACAAGAGAGAAAAACAAAATGTAACATGACCTGGTTTGATGGAAACCTGCTGAGGAAAAGTCAGACCCTCACTGGGCTGCGACGAGTTAAAAGCCCTGGTACCGACAACGTTAAAAATGTGGGTGGGGTAGGTGAAGCACCCACACCTGCCCCCACCCTCATTCGCCCCACTCTGGGCCCATGAGCAAGGCCCTTAACACCATCTGCTCCCCAAACAGGTCTCTCTTGAAAATGAGTTCTCATGGCTCAATGAGACTACCTGGATAAATAAAGGCTAAATGAAAAAAAAAAAACGAGGGAGTCTCCAGAACGTCTTCAAATGTCCCCTGTGTCCTTGCTCTAGATGCAGAGGTGGCAGTGCCGTCGCTTGACGTTAGAACATGTTCATTTAAAATAGTCAGAACGTCTGGGGGCGTCTTGACTCCTGAACAGGAGCTCTTCTCTGACAAAAAACATAAATCTGAAAATCATGTTAATGATAAATATTCAACTTTCGAAAAATCCCTCCAAAGCTGCCTGTCTCCATGTCAGAGGTTTCATATTTAGTTCTGATTCACATCATCTCAGGGCACTGCAGTCACATACAATAGAAAATGACAATTAGTTCAAGTTATTTATCAAAGGAAGCAGCAGATTGCATCAAAACAAAACTTGGACCCATCTTGGCAGGACAGAGGCGACTGTAGGAAGGAAAAACTCCCTTGAAACAGGAAGAACCCTTCAGCAGATTAAATCGCAACTGCAAGGACTGCACAATATCTCCAAAAAACTCTCTTCAGTATCAGGATCACTGCAGGCTGCTGGGACTAAAATAATCCTTAGACTGTTTGAAGTCTTTGTTCCTGCTCACATTTATGTCAAAATCCAAGATGGCCGCCTCTCTCTCTCTCTGTGTGAATCTGTTTGTTCTCCAACAACAGGACATCAGATTGTTTGTATTTCTGCTCCTAACAACCGTGACAGTGAGTGCAGCGTGTCATCACGGTCAAATCTCCAGCCTTATTGGAAATAAGCCATGGAGTCCAAATGTCCTCCGTGCTAAAGTTTTATTTATCAAACGCCAAATGAGTACCTGGAATTTCTGTTTTAACGGCACCCTAAATTATTTATCTTCCTATTTATTTTTTGTTGTCAGGGCTTGTTTCTGGGGGGGCGGGGGGTGTGAGGTTTTATTTCTCAGGAAGGTAGAAACAGAGTGAAGGACTATGTAGAAAACGTGTCCCGAAGAGCACTTTGTCCCCCAAAAATGTCCTCAACCCCGTGTGTCCTTGTAGAATGATGATCTTGCTGAAGACAATGAGACTGATCCATGTTTACAGTGCAGAGTCAGGACCCCCACCCCCGCTCATCCACCAGGTTTGTTAGACTTTAGCCCCAACATCATCAGACCTGAAAGCTGCACAAAAATATGTGAATATATAAATACTGAAAGTATTTTTCCTTTGTATAAGCACTTTTTGCATCCTGGTTTTTACAAATCGTGTTTGTAACCAAGTCCAGTTTTTCTACTTCGTTCAAGATTTTAGAAAATATTTCTTTTCTTTAATGGCCAGAAAAAGACTTGTTGGACATTAAATTCACTTTGTAAAGTTTGCTCCATCGTCAGCATCTTTCTAAAGTTTAACTTAGGCAGGAATGGAAGCTGAAAATCAACAATCTGAAGAGGAAAGTTTCACATGTTCACCTGGAAAACCTACCTCAGGGATTGTTTTCATCGTCTCACCTGGTTTGTCCTGTTGCTGCTTTGTGTCCCAGCAGAGCAGAAGTATGACAGTTTGAAGGCCATTCCTCACATACTAAAGAAAAGTTGCAATTTCTGTGAAAAATATGTAACCATAAAAAAAGTACTTTGATGTGTAAAGAGTCAAATTGTAAAGGCAACAACGAAAAGTTGGTAAATTTAAAAAAAGGGGTTTTTGAGAGAAATTGTTTTGTGAGAAAAAGAAAGATATTCAAACAGGCTTGTTGGTTAAATTAATATAATTAAAATGTATGTATTATTTTTCAATAAAAATTTGTATTCTACTTAAAAATGTACAAAATATTTATTAAGACACATGAAACCAAACTGTGAGGATCTTCTATATGGTTTCCACTGAGCTCACTAGAGTGTGTGTGTGTGTGCGTTTTTGTTTTAGGTTACATTGTGGGGACCAATTGTACAAAAAATTCTACATTGTGTGGAACAACTTCTCCTTGTGGGAACCAAAGCCAGGTTCCCATAAGGAGAAGTCTCTCTGAGGGGTTAGGGATTTATAATGGCTTCAGGGTAGAAGCTGTTCCTCAGTCTAGTGGTTCTACATTTAATGCTCCTCAACCTCCTTCCTGAGGGAGGTGGGGAAAAAAGTGTGTGTGCTGGGTGAGTGGGGTCCTTCATGA